GACATGGTGTCTGAAAATTCACACCGTGTGTGTGTGTGTGTGTGTGTGTGTGTGTGTGTGTGTGTGTGTGTGTGTATGACCAAAATCCCAAGGGGAGACTGGAGGAGAAAGGATTGTGGCATGGCCATCCCTCATCCCTCTTGGGGAGGTGATTCTTCACTTTCTATCTATCTCTCCGACGAGTGCATGTGCCCTATAGCAAAAATTTCTCTATTAAAAAAATAAAAAAAAAAACCTCAACCAGCAGATGGCATAATGGTTACATCACTGAACTCCCATGTAGTTGATTGCAGTTCGAGTCCTGGACCCAGTGACTTAAACCTCACACTGGGTATGTGAGCATGCTTGCCCAAGAGGAGAATGGAGGAGAGGGGATTGCTGTGTAGCCATCTCCCATGGGGGATGATTTCTCGCTTTCTGTCTCTCTGGCAAGTGCATGTACCCTATAGCAAAATCTCTCTTAAAAAAAAAAGGGGGGGGGGGGAACCAGCAGTTAGCGTAATGGCTATGTCGCTGGACTCCCACATAGTCGACTGTGGTTCACGTCCTGGACCCGGTGGCTTAAAACTCACGCCGGGCGCGTGAGCATGCGTGCCCAAGATCCCGAGAGGAGAATGGAGGAGAAGGGATTGCGGCGTGACCATCCCGTCTGGGGGGTGATTTCTTGCTTTCTGTCTCTATGTCTCTCTCTGTCTGTCTGGAGAGTGCACGTGCCCTCTAACGAAAACCTCTCACAAAAAAGAAAAAAACAACAAACAAACAAACAAAAGGGCCAGTGGATGGTGTGGCGGTTAAAGGCACTGGTTCCCACAATGCTGACTTCGGTTCAAGTTCCAGACTTGTTGGCTTGCTTTCTCACTTTCCCTTTCTTTCTCTCTCTGTCTGCTCAAATTAAAAATAAAATAATAACAACAAATGGAATGAAATAAATAATTCTTAAAAAAACAAAAAACAAAAACTCACACCAGGCGCCCGTGCTTACATGCCCAAGATCCCTATAGGAGAGTGGAAGACAAGGGATTGCAGTGTGGCCATCCACCCTTGGGGATGATTTCTGGTTTGCTATCTCTCTGGTGAGCTCACACACATGCCCTATAGCAAAAGTCTCTCTAAAAAAGAAAAATAAAAGAAAGAATGAGTGAATGAATTAAATTAATTGGAGACCATATGATGGCTGAGAAGCTGCAGAACCTGTCCAAAGAGCTTTGCTTTGGAGTCTGAACTCTCCAAACCCCAGCTTGACTGCATACTTGCATTGTGTCCTTGGGCAAGTCATTTGACCTCTGAACTCTGGTTTCCTCATTGTAAAATGCAATATGCAATTTCAGCTTTCTTATCAGGACTTGGTCAGTTATACACTATATAACGTAGTAAATGACCTTGAGCATGTAATTAACCTCTATGAGCCTCTAAAGCCAGTCTCTATGTGATCTACAAAGCCTTGCTTCATTTGAATCTTGCCTACATCTCCAACCCCATTTTATTTCTCTACTTCTCTTAATTTTAGTATTTGCCTTTTCTTTCTTTCTTTTTTTTTTTTTTTTCTGTCCTACTTAATTTGCACAATGGCTTATCTTGCCAGACAGCCAGAGACTGCATGCACTCGCCAGAAAGACGGAGAGATAGAAAGTGAGAAATTAACCCTCCAGGGGGGGTGGCCATGCTGCAATCCGTTCTCCGTTCTCCTCTCGGAATCTTGGGCATACATGCACACACGCCCGGCATGAATTTAAGCCACCAGGTCCTAGACTCAAATCACGGTCGACCACATGGGAGTTCAGCAACATAGCCATTACACTAACTGTTGGTTCCAGTATTTGCCTTTGAGTAATTATTTTATTTAACTTTATTTATTTATTTATTTTAATTTGACCAGAGAGGGACAGAGAGAGAGAGAGAAAGCAAGCCGCCAGGTCCTGGACTCAAACCATCATTGGCCATGTGGGAGTCCAGGGCCCTTAACCACCACACTACCTGCTGGCCCTAGTATTTGCCTTTTTTTGAGAGGGATTTTTGTTATATGGCGCATGTGCTAACCAGAAAGACAGAAAGCAAGAGATCACCCCCTGGGGGATGGCCTCACCACAATCTCTTCTCCGTTCTCTTGGGATGTGGAGCACACACGCACATGTGTCTGGTGTGAGTTTTAAGCTGCTGGATCTGGGACTTGAGCCATGGTTGACTACGTGGGAGTTCAGTGACATAACCATTACACCATCTGCTGGTCCCAATTTTAGTATTTCCCTTTTAGCTCCAGTTATAAGCTGAATGTGTCCCCTCACAAATTCCTGTGTAGGAGCCAGCCAATGGCATGGTGGATCTCACATAGCCAACTGCAAGGCTTGCATCAGACTTGGTGGCTTAGAAAATACACCATGCATCCCCAAAATCCCATAAGGAAAATGAAGAAGGGATTGCAGTGTGGCCATACACCCTGGGGGTGTGCTGCTCTCTCTCTAATCGTCTCCTCTCTCTTACTCCTTGGCAAGCACATAAACACCCTGTAGCAAAATTTTTATTTTTAAAGAATTATTTATTTAATTTTATTTATTCATTAATTTATTTTAATTCAACTAGAGAGAAACAGAAAGAGAGAGAGAAAGTGAGAAAGCAAGCCACCAGGTCCAGGACTCGAGCTGTGTTTGGCCATGTGGGAGTATCCAGTGCCTTAACCATCATGCCACCCACTGGGTCCAGCAAAATTTTTAAAAGTAATATTTTATGGGGGCTGGCAGGTGGCATGGTGGTTAAGGGCACTGGACTCTCACATGGCTGGCTGGAGTTCGAGTCCCTTGGTGGCTTGCTTTCTTACTTACTCTCTCTGTCGTCTCTGGTCAAATTAAAATAAATAAATAAATGTAAATAAAATAATTATTTTTAAAATCTAAAAACAACAAAAAAATAATAATTTATGTATTGTTGGGTTGGCTCCATAGCCTAGTGTTAAGAGAGCCAGATCCACTTGGTCAACTGTGGTGTGAATCCCAGCCCCAGTTGCTTAAAAAACATGCTTAGATATGTGTGTATGCATGCCTAAAATTCCAACACAATGGAGAAATGGAGGAGAAAAAACTATGGCTTGACTATGCCTTATCGTGGAGTGACTTTTCCCTCTCCTCTGTCTCTCTCTCTGTATCTCTCTGACTGTCTCTGGCTAGTGCATGCACCCTTTAGCAATTAAAAAATATATTCATGTGGGGCCAGCAGGTGGTGTGGTGATTGAGATGCTAGACACTCCCACACGGCCAACTACGGTTCAAGTCCTGGACCTGGTGGCTTGCTTTCTCACTTTCCCTCTCTCTCTTGCTCTGTCCCTCTCTGGTTAAATTAAGATAAAATAAATAAATAAATAAAGTTAAATAAAACAATTCTTTCAAAAAAGAGCTAGCTGGGAACCAGCAGTTAGCGTAATGGCTATGTCGCTGGACTCCCACGTAGTCGACCGCAGTTCACGTCCCGGACCCGGTGGCTTAAAACACGCCGGGCACGTGTGCGTGCGTGCCCAAGATCCCGAGAGGAGAATGGAGGAAAAGGGATTGCAGCGTGACCATCCCCCCTGGGGGATGATTTCTTGCTTTCTGTCTCTATGTCTCTCTCTCTCTGTCTGGCGAGC